CCACCTGGCCATGCCGGGCCACTTCACTCTGTGAAGCCAAAAACAAACAATTCTGCTGACTGAGCAGGAGTTTTAGTGAACTAAGTAACCGTGTTCGGATTAACATCGGTCTCGGATTTTAGTTCATGCACTTCAGTATAATATGCTAAATATTAGGCGTTACACTTAACGTTAGATTTGGTGTAGGTTTAAAATAATTCGTGAGTAACTTAAGCAACCATTCGTACTGTCATTCAGTTTCCAAACGTATTGTTTGAGCCAGGTATGGCCTACTGGTTAGCCGGATTATCGATCCAAGCGCCCAATGTTCGCGTCCCGTTAGCGTCAAATCGTGCACTGTACTTTGGGATCGCGGATGCCCTGTAAGAATGACAGTCAAATTCTACTATTCGACTAAAGTAGCCCACGAATTGGATAGCGAAGATAGCCCACCTGTGTAGTTGTGCAAGAATATCTGAAACAAACAAACAAAATAAATGCATTGTACATTTAGATACTTAAATTCTATAGTTAATTACATAAAAAAAGGACAACGTATCTACAAATGAAAAGATAAAAAGCTAAACAATGAAGTTAATATCTAAACATAAACGTTACGCTGTACTGTAAGTATCTGGTGTAAACTAAATGACAGAAGTTTGCTTATAATGCCAAAGCTAAGACTGACAACCTACATTACATAATTAGATATTAAATGCAGTAAATTAGGGATACATGGTGAGTAAAAACGTTAAGTTGTTGGTTCTTACAAAACACAACTACAGGTACTTCTTAACAAGAGCCATTAACACGGAAAACTTAACAAGTGACAGTCAGACAGGAAATAAACTGGCGAGCTTTTCCATTGTTGCTCATACTTCAACATAGCAATCTCTACTGTCAGGGCTGTATGCAGGAATTGAATTCTTTATGAACACAGCAATCTTTACTGTCAAGGCCGTGTGCAGGAATTGAGTTCTTTATGAAAATAGCAATCTTTACTGTTAGGGCCGTGTGCAGGAACTGAGTTCTTTATGAACATAGCAATCTTTACTGTTAGGTCTGTGTGCAGGAATTTAGTTATTTATGAACATAGCAATCTTTACTGTTAGGGCCGTGTGCAGGAACTGAGTTCTTTATGAACATAGCAATCTTTACTGTTAGGTCTGTGTGCAGGAATTTAGTTATTTATGAACATAGCAATCTCTACTGTCAGGGCCTTGTGCAGGAATTGAGTTCAAATTGCAAATTAGTCCATTTTTGAAGTATGTAAGAAAGATAGAATCTTTCCAGTAACTCTGCTGTCTTTAATACGTATTGACAAATTGTTTTATTCATTGATATCTAGCTTTTCAACTGGTCGGTCCTTAGTGGATTTGGTTAGTATTTCAAGTGACTGGTCCTCAGTAAACATGGTTAATATTTCAACTGTATGGTCCTTAGTGGACTTGGTTAGTGTTTCAACTAGCTGGTTCTTAGTGGATTTGGTTAGCGTTTCAAATGACTGGTCCTTAGTAAACATGGTTAATGTTTCAACTGTATGGTCCTTAGTGGATTTGGTTAGTGTTTCAACTGTCTGGTTCTTAGCGTATTTGGTTTGTGTTTCAACTGTCTGGTTCTTAGTGGATTTGGGTAGTGTTTCAAATGACTGGTACTTGGTAAACATGGTTAGTGTTTCAACTGTCTGGTCCTTAGTGGATTTGGTTGTGTTTCAACTGTCTGGTTCTTAGTGGATTTGGGTAGTGTTTCAAATGACTGGTACTTGGTAAACAAGGTTAATGTTTCAACTGTATGGTCCTTAGTGGATTTGGTTAGTGTTTCAACTGTCTGGTTCTTAGCGGATTTGGTTTGTGTTTCAACTGTTTGGTTATTAGTGGATTTGGTTAGTGTTTCAAATGACTGGTACTTAGTAAACATGGTTAGTGTTTCAACTGTCTGGTCCTTAGTGAATTTGGTTAGTGTTTCAACTGTCTGGTCTTTAGTGGATTTGGTTAGTGTTTCAAATGACTGGTCCTTAGTAAACATGGTTAATGTTTCAACTGTATGGTCCTTAGTGGATTTGGTTAGTGTTTCAACTGGCTTGTCCTTATTAAATATGGTTAGTGCTTTAATTGGCTTGTCCTTAGTGGATCTGGTTAGGGGAAACACTAACCAAATCCACTAAGGACCAGACAGTTGAAACATTAACCATGTTTACTATGAACCAGCCAGTTAAATCACTAACCAGATCCACTAAGGACCAGACAGTTGAAACATTAACCATGTTTACTAAGGACCAGTCAGTTGAAACACTAAGCAGATCCACTAAGGACCAGACAGTTGAAACATTAACCATGTTTACTAAGGACCAGTCAGTTGAAACACTAACCAAATCCACTAAGGACCAGCCAGTTGAAACATTAACCATGTTTACTAAGAACCAGCCAGTTGAAAATCTGGCTGGTCCTTAGTGGATCTGGTTAGTGTTTCAACTGACTGGTCCTTAGTAAACATGGTTAGTGCTTCAACTGGCTGGTCCTTAGTGGATCTGGTTAGTGTTTCAACTGACTGGTCCTTAGTGGATTTGTTGCGCTAATCGCTAGGTGTTGTTAATCGTTCAAAGGAAATTTTCGACAGGAAAAGAATATAAGGTCAAAGTAATCCTCTTACCTCACAACAAAAACTTACTTGCCGAGACATAATCCCTATTGTGGAAAGGATTACCCTATTTATTTGTTTCTTGTCAATCAGACTGTGTATATATGAGAAAAAATAATTAATTATATTTAGCCGTTATACAATCTACTCCTTAGCTAAGAAAAAAGAAAGATACCCTTACCAAGTAAAGGTTTTAACGGACATATTGTTTTATGTAGATTGACAAACTAGAACTGTCATGACCTTATTGAAGTGTTAGATTTTGTGTAGATTGGTTTATGAAGTTGAATTTCTCTACACATTAGGATGACTACCTTGAGACTCACCATAATAATCTTATATTGAAAGCAGTGTAAAATTCCGCAATAGATAAGTATCCCGTACAAGCAAATTCCGTTTCAAACTAAATTAAAAATAAGAATAAATTCTATATATATAAATGTAACGCAGTTAGACTGAAAGTATTCAAAATAAGTTAGAAGTGGAATGTTTTTGAACTAGATTTACGTGGAAAAGTATTTAGTTATAATGATGTGGAAGTAACTTTGTGTAGATCCATATCAATAATATGCTAAACATCAAGTCATCTTGTTTGTGTTAAAGTATAAGTTAAAATAAAGTAGTATTTTTATATTGAAATAAACTATAGTGAATCTGGCTGTTGGTGATAAACAGAACTTTACCTATAACGCTTGTAAAATAAGTAATAGCTCTCCACGTTGTCTAAACAAATTTTCTGAAAATATAAGGTCTAAGGTTCGAGTCGTGATGCCACTGGACACACTTTTCATTTTCAAGTGACAGCTAGAAAGCTGGATAAGTCCCTGCGGCGGCGGCGGGTGCTAATGGCTTGTTACCCTTCCGTTAATCAAAATGAGGAATTGTTATACTTAAATATTTTGATCTTGTGCAATTGAGCCACGTGCACGAAACATGCCGTTCAGGTTGAAGCTTCTAACCCTAAGTCTGTTTCTAACTTAAATGTTTGTTGTTCTTTTACAAATTCGCGTTAGGATTTGTTGGAGTTTCGTGCAAACTGTTTAATCAGTTAAAAACAATGTCGCGAATTGTGTGAAAATATTTTTTTAAAGTTTAACTTCTTGACACGTGTTCATATGTTTGGGATTATTGATAAAAAAAATGTGTAAAATGAATTTCTTTTGATATCCAAAATATTTGTTTTAATCCCTTTTACTTTTAACCATATAAGTGAAAGCAACAAAACGTGTTATAACGTCAAACCAGAGGACGTAGAAATATAGCTGCCATCGACTTATTGGTCTCACGGAAAGCGTCTTGAAACACGACCGTTAATCTGCACAACACAATAACACTACGCGTGTTGTCGCCGATGTTACTTGTGTGTGAGCTATTTAAATTCATGAGAGTTTGGCATAAATGTTTTTAATCAAGAGTGACTTTTAATATCGTTTTGTCTCGATATTGCCGGTGTCTTACTTAAAAATATATCATTATTATGCTCCTCGGAGGAATGCAATATCCAGCTTTTCGTTTTTCATTTTATGGAGACTCAACTTTCTTCTTGGAGCGTAGCTTTTCATTAGCATTCTTGTCATGTATTCACATTCTTTATGAAATGATATGTGACGTATTTTGACAAGAAATTAATGCAGAAGAATCAATGTCGGCTAAGCGCATTTACATTCTGACACAGTGAGCAAGTTGTTGGTACGACAGCAATGATCCTGGAAATATTTAGGTTACAGTCTAAATCTAACTTAAGCTAAATTGACGAGATTACAAAAATGTATTTGTGAGAACAACTCTTGACAAAAGAAAATGAGCCTGATTCGTTTAGTTATAATTCTGTGTTTTTTACGAAACTTTTGGAGATAACCTCTTACTTCAAATCATTATTATATATGCCACAGATCAACAGACTCTAGATTTATACGCCTTTTGCTTTATTTTGTAAAACACGTTCCCATATTACCCAAGACAATATAACTGAGTTGTTTACAACGTAAGCAAAGACTTCCATATATAATTTATTCCCGATACTCAAGTATGCAGCCTTGTTGCTGTGTGTAAAAAAGATCCCAGTGTTATTGATTGGTATATATATTAAATCTTTAAAGGTCCCAGTGTTATTGCTTGGTATATATATATATATATACTAAATCTTTAAAGGCCCCAGTGCTATTGATTTGTATATATATATAGTTAATCTTTAAAGATCCCAGTGTTATTAACTGGTATACATATACTTAATCTTTAAAGGTCCCAGTGTTATTGATTGGCATATATATACTTAATCTTTAAAGGTCCCAGTGTTATTGATTGGTATATATACTTAATCTTTAAAGGTCCCAGTGCTATTGATTGGTATATGTACTTAATCTTTAAAGGTCCCAGTGTTATTGATTTGTATACATATACTTACAACTGAAAGTAAGCTACTATAATTAAGTTACCCAGTAGTCAAGGATCCTAATTTCTTAATTTTCTTCACATCATTCCAACACGCGAAACTCTATTTACTTTTAAGTATAGTTAAGTGAATTAATGTTTAACCCACCGATATTTACCACATTCTCCTAAGATCCACCTGCGGTGCAGGCAACCGTATCCCCGGCAACAGTTAACGAAGGCGACGATGGGAGCGTCTCTCTCCAGTGCGATATCGTGGACGGAAACCCGCAGAACCTTCTCCGAGTTCGATGGTATAAAGACGACGAATTGCAGAACGAGGTTACGGAGAATAAGATTGTTTGGCAGAACATAAGCAGGAACTTCACCGCTAATTACTCGTGTGAGGGGGAGAATGCCGCCGGATGGGGAGAACGTTCAGAGCCGAAGGAGCTAGTAGTGAACTGTAAGTAGCTTCCTGCTCTTCGACATTTTCGTTGAGTGCCTGACCATGTGCTCAGCAATTAATTTCATTCGTGCTGTAGGCCTGATCTTATACAGGAAAAATAAATAAAACATGTGTTGTTTCTTAGAAGTTTATGTTGCTGGAGGGAAAACACTGCGAGAACGCGAAGCGTTTTTGGGACACACATCTTCAACAAAGATGTTAAAGCAGTTTCTTTATGATAAGAAAAATATTTACTATTTTCTCTTCTTCCTGATATAACATCATTTTTAGTAATAGAGAGCTCTTTCGAATATTTTCGAAGCGAATGTTAACACGATAGTAGGTCTCGCTGAGTAAATTTATTAATACAAAACTCCTTAATAAAAACACAGGTATTTGTAGTTTCTTACAAATATTTTCGAAAGCTGACGAAAACTTCTAAAGCTAGTACAAATGAGATGAATGCTCATTTACTACCAAAAGCCACCATAAAAATATACCGAAATAAAAAAACGCCTTGTTGGTGTAAATCCGTACGTATTTCAGTAACTTATATTAAAGCACATTATTATTTATAGTATTAACTAAATCAATATATAACATTATTATTTTTGTGGCCAAATTTGATAGGAATGATTCATAAAAATTTATATGTGCCAGTTCTGGGTCCGTGTTCTAGGGTTAAGGTAGAGTAACACCGCTAACGACGAGGAGACCCAACCGACAATCCAGGAAAGGGTGGTCGTAAAAGCTTTTTATATTTTTATTGTAACTCATAATCAAGATTATTTATTATTAATTATAAGTATAGCGGATATTCAGGTAAAAATCGTTGCACAAATGTGGGTTCTTTCGTTTTTATTATGAAATAAAATATGTCTTTGAGACACAGTGAAAACGGTTATGTAAACGATAAACGTGTCTAGATGGTTCACTGTTTGGCAAATATTATCTTCATGTAGCTATTGGACTAAGATTAGAAGAAACAGGGGGTTTTATAAGAGGAAATATTAATTATCAAAGGTACCTTCTCTACAGTAATGTTATTAAATTTCATTTTTGTATTTGTATATTATTTATCAGAAGAATTACTTACACTAAGAGAACAGGAATTTATAAGCATTCATATCTTTAGTAACTCCAGGCTCACAAACTAATATAAGTGTTTCTTATAATTATAATTTATGATATAAGTTCTTATAATTTGTTAATTTATACAACATATCTTTGCTGAAATTGGTTATCTTTAGAGGGAACACTGAAAGTAAAATAATACTTAAACACATATATATTGAAATGTGAGAAACATTGCCGAATATATATATACAACCGTATGCAAAGATAAATACAGCAAATTAAAGACATATATCTTCTGTCTTGTACGGAAAAAAATAATTCTGGCGACTAAACTTCAACATAGGTTACATCAACAAAAGAAGGTTCTGGAAAATAATTTTGAAATATTTAGAGAGAACCAACGTAAGAGTAAAATTAATTTCATTCATACAAACTCCAGACGGGTATCGTCTCTTGGCCTCATAGTTGACAATTAATTTGTGTGGGACCCAGATATGACTGACACTATTGTCTAAAGAGTGAAGGGAATTGCATGGGATGAGTAATACTAGACGAGAAACGTATAATCTGAGTGAAATCTTTGTTAGAAGAGAAGAAAATAAAACCATTTTAGTTGATGTAGCACGATGATTGGTTGATTTTATATAAAT